ATATATTAACTGCATAGATACAGTGGAGCAGACATCTTAAGGAGTTCACTAACACTCCTGAACTCTACCTAGGGGAAAGAAATGAACCAGGGCTTGCAAATTGACAGCCACAGGCCTTATTGCAAACAGGTATTGCTTGCCACTCTTCTCCCTTCTGCACTCTTTTAAGAGCTTTTCTAATAGTCACAATTCTTAAAAGTTCAATAGATTTTTTTTTTTTAATGTGATGCTGGGGCTCAAATCCAAGGCATCCCACATGTTAGGTAAGTGCTCTACCACTGAACTGCACTCTCAGTCCCTAGATTTCTTTTTAAATTACTGGGTTCCAGTTGCTTTTGTTTATCACTTTGTTTGAGACTGGGTCTCCCTCTCTTGCCTGGGCTGGTCTTGAACTCCTGGACTCAAGTGATCCTCCCTCCTGAGCCTCTGGAGTAACTGGGACCATGGGAGTGGGCCACTGCGACTGGCTTCCGGTTGTTTTCCTAAAACAGCAATTCTGACCCCAATCACGGACTTGCTCATTCATCAGAGACCCAGGGCTGCCAAGATGGGGAATGAAAACACTCAGAACCTGTTTTAACTCCTGGGACCACTCCTCCTAAGGACTGAAGGATGATTACCAGGAATTGCTGAAGTCAAGGAAGAGCTTGGACCCTCATCGCTTTTTTTTTTCCAGTTACCGTTTTCATCCTTAGAACAGGAATAGCCTCATACCATCTCCTCTGTCTAGCTGGCGCCCAGATCACAGCACGCCGTGTCACCAATAAAAGTTGAAGTCTAGAACCGCCGCCCTTGAGCTAGTCAGAGTGCCACATTTTCAGCCTGCGCCGCCAGGGGGCAGTAGGACCCCGGCCGGGTGGGTTTGGCCCTGGGAGGCAGAGAGGCTGGGAGGCAGGGAGGCTGGGAGGCGGACAGCTGGGCAGCCAAGCGGCCGGGCAGCAGGGAGATAAGTGTGCATTCCGCATTCCGGCATTCCGGCCGACGCCTCCTGTGGCTTTCTCTGGCCTCTCTCCGACCGCTCCCGCCCCACCCCAGACGAAGAGGACTGAAAAGAAACCAGCTTGCACAGCCCAGGAAAACGGGGCTTTATTGCGGGGGGGGGGGGGGGGACGGTGACCCCGACCCTCTAACAATCAAAAAGTTAGTTCAGTTAGACTAAGAAGGGTTGAACAGTCACGGTTTGTAGATGGTGGTCAGTTTCCTAGTGGAGACTAAACCATTTTACAGAAGGGACTGGTCAATGTCACAAAGTGAAAACAGAATGGGCTGGTTGATTTCAAGTTCACCAGTGCAGAGGGCTGACCCCTCTTAAAGCCTTCTGCTGAAGCTGGGGGGTCGGGAGGGTGGGCAGGGAAGTCCTGCTGGGCGTCGCTAACCTGGTCCTCCCACCGGTATGTTAATTCAAGCCCGGGGTCCCAGCCTATTCAAACTTCAAGGTTTGCGCTCCTCCTGAGAAGAGAGGGACACACGAAGGCCACCCTTAGGGGACCCATGCACCGCATCCAGGCGTGGGGTGGGGCAGTTGGAGCCCCAAGACCAACTCCTCCCGTTAACCCACCCACCCCACCCCCGCCTGGGCTGGGCTAGGATTTCAGGTCTTGGCCAGAGTAGTGTCCCAGGGGGAGGGGACAGGGGCGGGGATGCTCTTTTTCCCTCCCAGAGTCCGGGAGCCACAGGCGTGGTGGGAGGGGCGACAAGCACTTGGGGAAGGGGGTTCCCACCTGCTCCAGGCCGTTCTCCGAAGCCTTCCTGCGGGGGGGCCAGATCACTGCCAACTTTCCATCGCCCCTGCTCGCTGCGGGGGAAGGGACGCTCAGCCTGCTTGGCCCCCTCCTTTCACCAGCTGGAGGAGGCCAGGACGAAGGAGGCCGGCCGCACCCCTTAAACACATACAGGTGTTCACCCCCCTCCTCCCCTGGGAGGCCTCCACCCAGTTCTAGGGATTCCGAAACTTGAGGAAGGCGAACCCAGAGTGGAAGCAGGAACCCGAAAACTCAGAGGGCGGATCCAAGAGCCCTAGAGAGCGGTCAGGGTTTCCTGAAACGAGCCCCCACCGCCGAAACCCAAGTCGTGCGGATCTGGGAGTCATTCCCGCTGGGGGTGGAGCACAGGGAGTCGACAGCCCAGAGGAGTGGCCAGGGGACGGAGACTTGAGAAGGGTCCCAGGAATCTGGGGGCCTGAAAGGCGGAACCCCGAGAATCGGAGGGCCAGAGAAAGGGTCACAGGAGTGGGCGATTGTTGGGAGCCGCTGGAGCTGTGGGATCCCACGCGTCGCGGCTTACCCGTGAGGCTCGGCGCGGGTTCCTTGAACTCA